TGACGGGACGTGTGAGGTTTATGAGAAGCAGAAGAGGATTTCCTCCTTTCTTCCACTCCTCCCGGTGATGTCCTCCCTTCTTCGCCTCTCAGTCCCCCGAAGAAAGGAGGAAGATGAGTGAGGCGAGCTTCAGGGCCTCCTGCGTTTGAAAGCGCTGGTTCTGTGATCACCAAGCACTTCCAGGTCGCCCAGGGGTTAGGGCTCACCTTGACCTGAAGAAGTCTGCCTGAGACTCCCTAGGTCTCAGGGAGAGAGCGCAGGTGGAGCTCTGTGCCTGACCTGAGCTGGGGAGCAGCCCCTCCCCGGATGGAGGAGTGTGGATCTTGTCCAATCGCTGTTGCCAGAAGCCGGGAGGCGGCCTGGTTGTTTGCCCCGTCTTGCCTTATTTGGGCGATTGCTAAACCTGCAGTGTGAAATGACCGCAGATTCACTGAAAGATTATTCTGTTTGCGAGGTGGGGAGCTGACTAATTTGCATGGGACATAAACTGTCAATTTGGGGATTCACTCGAGCTATGGCTAGGCACCCAGCTGCTAATGATGTAATCTAGAACAGGGTTCACTCAAGCCACTTTCTGGTTTTTTGTTTTTCAATCTAAGGATGGAGCCACTGCTTCACTGCTTGGTAGATGGTTTAAGGTCACCCCCGGAAAACCAGTTACTCCTTTAACTCGGAGAGAACTGGGCGGCAGGAGAGTGTAGTGATTCACAGTGAGGGCTCTTGAATCGGAAGACTTGGTTTGAATCCCACCGGTTTGCATGGTCGCCAGCGATGACTTCATCTGTCTGTGGCTCCTTTCCTTAGCTGTACGATGGGGAAATGACCCTGAGGATTTACTCAGATAATTCATATAAAACTCTTAAAACACACCAGCTCAGTCAAAACTTACCATACAGTAGTTACTGCCATTGTCAGAGCAAATTTGAAGTTAAATTTCTGACATTTATATGCAAAAAGATAACATTTGCATATTCTTGATTCCCATTCCAGATTTCCAACATTTAAAATATTTTTGATGTTTTATTACAAAAAGTCATGCTCAGTCGTGCTAAATGTGGCAACTGTCAAGTTTAAAGAAGGAAATACCGTTCTATTATTCCAAACTCCTCACTTTTCCTCACAAGAAAAACTGGTAAATTTTGGTTTTTATAATCTTTTTATCTTTGCAACTAATAAACAATGTCACTGTAGTGTCTCGTATGTTAATTTGCTTGTAAATTGTTTCTTTTTTCAGTAAGCAGTGTGTTTGGGCCGGAGATTTGGTTAAGATTGCGCCTCCCATTATGTAACTGTCTCTGAGGGAAAGGCTTGCAGCGTGTGTGTGTTCTGGAAGGTCTGTGGATGGTTCGCCCATTATCCATAACACTGAGGGCAGGGTCAATCTATGTTTACCTGCCACTCCTCCCTCTTCCCCCAGCAACAAAAACACTGCATCTTGGGGTGGGCATGATGGAAACATGCTACGAATCGTATGTGATTTCTTCATAATCTCTCCATTGTTAGCATTATGTAGCTATCGTAATAAATAACGATACATTAATAAAATATCATCTTCGATTGCCATGGAAGTTCTTTGGGATTGGTAAGGCTCATTCTATCCAGTTCACAGAATTGGAAACTGAGGGCAGGTGAGCTGTGTGGGGGAGGAAAAATAATTTTCTCTCTACCTTTCTGAGTTCTTCTGGTTGGTGTAATAATAATTCAATTAATGGGAGATAGATTCACAGGAGAAAATAACTAAGTTTATTATACATGTACCTGCAGGGGTGCCTTAAGAATATGAAACTTGAGAATAGGCAATTCACAGGTAGATGAGAAGGAGCAAACATTTGGTAGATAAATTCTTGCTGGGCCACCCAAAAACCATGGGACACAGAGGGGATTCTAACGAAACAGACTTTGCTTGGTGCCTCCCTGCCCGCTGCACTGAATTCATAATGTGATGCTAACGTGATGATCCTTTCCTTTAAGTGGGGTTTTCCATGTGAATTCCTTTAGGCAGGTAAGGGGGAGGGTCAAAGTCTCTTTCTGACACTTTTATTTCTTAAAAATAACCAGCTTAAAATAATCAGTATCTGGAAAAGGTATATTTCAGGGTGGCAAACTCTGCTTCCCATCAGTTGCTTGAGGAGACCAAGGCTGATGAGCCATGGGGGCCCAGAATTAGAACTTGGGCATTTGGCTCTAGGCCAAAAATAACCAGCTTAAAATAATCAGTATCTGAAAAAGGTATATTTCAGGGTGGCAAACTCTGCTTCCATCAGTTGCTTGAGGAGACCAAGGTTGATGAGCCATGGTGGCCCAGAATTAGAACTTGGGCATTTGGCTCTAGGCAAACAATGATGACTTTGAGACCTGTTTTCCCTCCATTTACATCGATTATTTTGAAAACTTAAATATTAGATTTAAAGAATAAAATGATCGGGTGATGATTTTTGTGAAAGGTATTAAATCTCAAAAGCAACTAAGAGAACCAAACACTATTTAGATTTCGGATGAAATCGTTATTTGTAAAAGTTGCAAAAACACACTCGAAATTGGCTATACAAATGTACGATGGTCAGACTGTATTTAAAAATAGAACTCTGACCCACAGCCTGCAGCCTCCGGTCCAGGAAACTAACCAATTATCTCCAGTAACCAGCCCAGGAAGCCAGCCTGCTGGAAGCCAGACCTGTAGGAAGTCAGTCTGTTATCCCTATCAGCTGATCCGGGAATAAACAATAACCCTGTAACAACTGGCTACTTGAAGTAGCTAGGCTCAATTAACAACTGAGAAGTTTTATATTTTTTGTCCACACTTCCAGCTGAGGACCAAGGAGAGAAAGCTGAATTTGCACACTAACCAATCCCTTGGAACACCTTGCTTCTATTCGGCCCGCCCACAGCTTCCCCACGCCAACGGCCTCGGACCTGGGCTCACCTAAAGGCTCCTTTTTCCCACTACCGAGTTTTCCCACGGCTCTGCTTGAGTCTCTGCCAAATGGCAAGTTATGGTGGCTGACTTCCCTGCTGTAGCAAGCCCTGAGTAAATAGTCCTAGCGCATTCTCACTTGGATTGTCTTTGTTCATTTCCACACACAAAATAGAGATTCTCTGAAGTAAGACAGATTAAAAAAGGACGACCTCGGCCATATCTCCATCTCACTAGGGATGTAAAAGCCCAAATGGATTGGATCGTACTGGCTTGGTTGAGCATCTACTGTGTGCAAAACACTTTTTTAGGTGCTGTGGTGACGAAGGCCTCTGAGCATCCAGAAATCAGACAACCATCCAGAGGACTATTACATGAGACAGAACCCGGCTTGTGTGTGATAAAGATTCAAGGTACTAAGGGAGTTAAGAGAGAGACAGTGAGCACATCTAACCTGAAGGATCAATAGAACCTGCAGGAAGGAGGTGTCAAACATTTAAAGTAAAAAATTAAAAATACAGAGAACCATGATGAATATATGCCAGTAAAACAAACTCACCACTTAGAATTAAACTTTGCATTTTGTCACACTCATACCTTTGAAATAGGCGGCTGGATGATGGATAGCTAGATGATACATAGAGTGGATGTCCCATCCCCCTCTGCCTCCCCGAGGGCGCCCTTATGAATTTGGAGCTTTTTGGGGAAGTGGCCACGAGCCAGC